CCATATTAAACTTCTAAGCAGAGCATCAGACCTGTTATTCACACATAACTGTGGCGTCTTTTGCTGTGGTCCGTACTCACGTGGCTGATTAAAAAAAGGTTCTTAATATAAAAAACAATGTACACAAACAATTCAAGAGTTTATTTTTGTACACTTAATATACAGTAAATAAAATGTGCACTCTTCTCTGTTGCCCCATGTGACAATGTGGTGCATCATGTGGGGTGGCTTAGTGATCTTGACTGACAATGGAGCACTGCTATTTGCTCCCCTGTTAATCCAGACCATATGATCTTCAGCATAGTACAGTTCTTACTGTGAATTCCATAGTGCACATGTGGTCACATGACACATGGTTCATACAAAACAATGACATATCATTTTAATAATATAGAAAGAGGTCATAGAAGCAATGCTTGCTTGTTTTTATTGACAACCTAACAACATTCAATATTCTTTAACCACTTGCTCTCCAGGGAATTAACCCCCCTTCCTGACCAGGCCATTTTGTGAGTTACGGCGCTGCGTTATTTTAACTGACAATTGCATAGGCATGCAACACTGCACCTAACTTATATTGATGTCCTTTTTTTCCCATGAATAGAGCTTTCTTTTGGTGGTATTTGATTGCCTGTGCGTTTTTTATTTTTTGCGCTATAAAAAAAACAAAATCTGACAATTTTGAAAACAAAAACAATATTTTTGACTTTTTGCTATTAAGCATGTCCAGTAAAAAAATTAAAAAAATCAAATTTCTTCATAAATTTAGGCCAAAATGTATTCTGCTACATGTTTTTGCTGAAAAAAAAATCCCAATACGTGTAAATGTACATGAAAGTTATAGTGTTTACAAATGGCGGTATATATACTGAGTTTTTTTTTCTTTATTTTTAATTTTTACTAGTAATGGCGGTGATCAGCGACTTACATTGGGACTGCGGGATTGCGGCGGGCATTCTGACATGGGGGGGTTAATTACTTGGGGTCACTGACATCCACAGTGACACCAATACAGTGATCAGTGCTAAAAAAAAACACTGACACTGTACTAATGGCACTGGGCAGGAAGGGGTTAACATGTGGGGTGATCAAAGGGTTAATTGTGTGCTGTTTTACTAGGGGCTGTGTTTGTGTGCTTCACTGTAAGCACACTGCTTTGCCATGCAAAGCAATGTGCAGGAGCTGACATGGGAGATAACTGTTTTGTTTACTAACAGTTGTCCCCCCCATCAAGATGATTGGCAATCACTGGGCACCGGGACCAGGTGATTGACAGCCGCGTCCGCGAATGATGGCACGGGTAGGGCCCTAACCGGACATGCAAAATCACATATATATACGTGATTTTGTGCACCCTTGCCACCCTGTAGCAGTACTTCTGTTATAGGGTGGACAGGAGGCGGTTAAAGTGATTTAATCGTTTTAGGTGGAGTTTATGAACATTAACATTAGGTGTTGTTTATGTGTATCAATCCACATCAACACCACCTCTTAGATATTATTCATAGACTCTGCATCAAGCTTTGCAATCATTCTAAAGAATATTGTATGCTTTTAACCAAACTATAACTAAAGGCAACATTTTTTTTTTTAGTTTCGAATAGAGTGGAGAGGGAATAGAACACGTCAGGGTTTTATTGATGTCTGTGCCCCCAATTAAGGAGATTCACCCCCACTATTTGTCCCGTTTATCGTTGTCATTGAAAGTGATAGCAAAAGAAAATCTCAAATTATGGGTTGGCACCAGAACACTTACAGAGGGGAAATCATCCAGTGGAGACAGTAGGTGCTAGTGACCCTGGTAACACACCAGGATCCCCTCACTTTGGAGAGATTTCTTCTCATTTCCTGTTCTGGATATGGAACAGGATAAAAAGGGAATTCTCTCCAATGAGACGCAGATGGTCAAGAAAAATCTGACAGAAGTTATAATCCTCCCTTAATCTATCCAATTTTTCCAAAAATACTTTTATTAGAAGAAAAAATGCATATCAGTGCATATACAGTTATGGATCACAGTCTGAACAAAAACATAGCATGTAGCCTCCCGTTTCGCAGACGGGTCATATATTAAACTGCAATACAGATCAAAATGGAATATGACATTATATCAAATGAATATTGCAAACCAGCAGATACACAGAGTATAAGAGATAAGTCAATATAGATATATTGTCTCCTGGCCTATTAGCAAGCTTTTATGTTATGGGAGTGTGAAGTGTTGGCTAAACGATAGCACATGATGATGTGTATGTTATGGTTGGTGTGTCCATAGCTTGGGTGTGCACCTGTATGAAGGTCAATGCTCTGTTTTGTAGGTGATATGTAAGTAATAAAAGCGTAACACAGGTGTGAATTAAAGATAAGACAGAGAGAAGAGTAGTTAGAGAAAGATATGTAGGGTGGTATAATGGGGGAGGGGAATATGGGAAAAAAAAGGGGGGAGTAAGGAGTTGAGGGGAAGTGGAATAGATAATTGCGGATAAATAGCTAACTTCATTTTGTACGAGCCGCGCTAGAAAGATAGTCATATAGCTTAAGATGCAGTACCTGCCAGATCAGTCAATGGAGCAACACGTAGGCTAATAACCCAGGAAGGTATGCCACAATGTTGAGCCAAAGACCATCCAAACGTGCATCAGGTGTGACCTAGGTAAACAGGGTGCTCCCCAGAACCACATTATGTCCAATCATTCAAACAGAGGGTATCTGTTGTTCATGTACTAGTAGGTGATAAGTAGAAGTGGTTTTGAAACTCCAACAGGCCCATGTTTTCCTGAATCTCTCGGGATGTTCCTTAGCAACAGAAATAATTTCCTCCATTTCCTCAATTTTGTTGATCCTAACAAACCATTCTCGGAGAGTGGGAACATGTGTTGAGCGCCAGTGGACTGGGATACATTGTTTTGCAGTGTTTGCCATATGCATGGCGAGTGATTTACAGTCCCGAAATGGAAGTGTGGAGTGGTGAAGCAAGAATTGTGCAGGGGAGGGGTCTAGGGTATACGTAGTTACTTGTGTAATTGTAGATTGAACTTTCCCCCAGAAAGGCTGCAACACTGGACAGTCCCACCAAATATGCAGGAGTGTACCCGTCGCCTGGAGACATCTCCAACACAAATCTGAGATGTTGGGGTCGAATTGGTGAAGCAGGGATGGAACTTTGTACCATCTAGAGTATAGTTTAAAATTGTTTTCCTGTGTGGAGACACATATGGACCCTTTGTGTATATGTTCATAAATGTGATCCCAGTCTTCCAGCGATAGTTGGAGTTGTAAGTCAGAGCTCCAGGCCTTGCAAGCTTTCCTTGACGGAAGGTCAATAGTATTTTCAAGGCATGTGTAAAGCTGAGATATAACATGTCTCTGGGGGGAATCCGTTGAGCAAAGTTTTTCAAATGGGGTAAGATGTCTAGTATATTCTTTTATATGTGAGGAGCTATGTTTAAAGTGGTGGAGTTGTCCATACATCCACGGCGTCAAGGTCAGGGATGGCCATTTATTCAGAATGAGGTCTCTGGATAAGAACGTCCTGTCTTTAAAAAGTTGGTGCATACTCAAACTGTCTGTGGGGCTAGGTCCTGCAAGAAAGGCATGTGACATACCCGGGGGAAGTCTGGATTCATTTTGACAGGAGAGAGTGGGCCAGAGGTGGAAGAGAAATTTGTTTTCTTATTTATCTGATGATAACAGGATAGAGTGGGGCCTATAAGAAGATGTTTCTTGAACTCAGACGGAATGTAAGAATTTTTCAGCCAAGGGGAGGTGGCGAGCGGGTCTCTGAAAAGGCAGCTTCCAAATTAACCCAAGCCTTATGATTACGATTCGTAGACCAATCTACTGTTCTTGCCATTTGGCAGGCTCTGTAGTAGCGGATGATGTCAGGTAGCCTAATACCTCCACTGGTCTTAGGCATGGTAAGTTGGTCGAAACCGATTCTGGGGCGTTTATTACACCATAGAAACGAGGTACATAATGTTTTATAAGACTTAAAGAATAATCTATGCATTTTTTAAAAAAATAGGTGACTTTAGTTACACTTTAATAAAAATAAGCAAACATTATTTTTATGGACTGAATTTATATTTCAGTCTGCATGTGCACCCTGACGAGTTCACATTCAGGGGAGCAATTAGGAAGTACTCTGCTGTCAATAACTATCCTGTAGCTGCCCCACATGATGAATGGGAGTGTAATAAGGGGCAGAAAGCTGAAAAAAAAGGAGAACGTTCTTCTTTCTAGTGGAAACTGGAGCATGTGCAGACAGAGTGGCAATGCAGAAGGAATGGATCGGCCAGCATAGCATTTCCATTCTGAATAAGGAACTCTGATGAACTGGCAAGAAAAACTGGTAAATAGGAAGAATTATCAGTTGCACTCCAATAATCTCTTCTTGCAGTATAAGTGTGAATTGACTGTACACAGTGATGTCTCCAACCCAAAACCAACCTTCCTTGATGTGTTTCACCACTCCTGGCTTGCTCACAAGTATGGGACTTGTGGAGTCCTATAGAGACGGACTGTGATGGCTGGCACCAAGGTTGTCTATGTGCAGTAGAGGTCAGCCTTGAGCGAAGCTATGGATTTTTGTGTGTTTCTGTTCTAAGAAAACCAGGTATTTACTAACTAGTAATCTGTTTTTTTTTAGAGAAAACAGCAGCACACATAGGGGAAATATTTTCAGGTTTTTGATTTAATTACACTTTAATTTCTGGCTATGTGTTGGCTTCTTGCTCTGACAGGTCTGTTTGCTACAGCAATGTCCTGTGGCTATGCTCTAGTACTGTATCACGCTTTAGCACTGTCTAAGCCTAACTGCTTCTCATCCCTGCCGTTTTACTTACTCTTTTATAGCTTCTGGTTTGTTATTGCTGATAACTGGTCAACCCACTAGCTGCTCAACCAATATACTGTGATTAGTGAAGCAAATAAAGAATGTATTTTTGATGAGCAACTTTAGATTAGATTATAATAAGATATATATTTTCAATGTTTTGCAGGACAAAGCTTTGAATGGAATTTGCATGCCAAGAAGTTATCTTGAACTGACTTTGGACCGCAAAGACAATGAAGTAGACCAAATTAGTTCTAAACAATTTAATAGTGATATTTTGTTAAAACCAGATTTACAAACATTCCAAGTTCTACCATGGAACGACAAAACTGCAAGAGTGATCTGTGACTCATTTACGTTCCTAGGCAATCCTCTTCTTACTTCACCACGATATCTAGCTAAACATTTACTTAGTCAATTACAGGAAAGAGGATTTTTGCTACATTCTGCTTTCATATACGAATTTTGTATATTTGGAGTTGCTGAAATTATAAATTCAAAGACAATTGCATTCCCTGCTGCAACATTGCTCTCTGATCACCAGATGTTCATGCAAGAATTCTTAGAGGGGATGTATTACATTGGTGGGAACATTGAAAGCTTTTCATCTTCCAGTTTTCCTGGACAAATGCAGGTTTCCTTTGTGCCTGAATATGGTTTGGCCGCTGCTGACAATGCCTTCACTTTTAAAACTGGCATTAAAGAAGCAGCTAAGAAACAAGACTACATAACAAGTTTTTATACTGACTCTGCGGGTTTTTATAATTCCGGAGTTTTATCACACAGTTTGTGGGATGTTAGTGGAGCCAAAAATGTATTTCATACTGGGTCTCGTGGAGAAGTTCTTACAGACATTGGCAAAAAATGGTTATCAGGTCTTCTGCAGCATTCAGCTGCACTGAGCTGCCTAGTTTCTCCAGGAGCAGCAAGCCGCAAACGTTTCTTGAAAGATGAGAAAGACCCTCAAGATAGCATCTGTACCACTTGGGGATCTAACAACAAAACCTTTGCCTACAATATTAAATCTCATGGCTGCAATGGAACCTATATAGAAAACATGTTGTGTTCATCCACAGCCAACCCCTACTTAGTTTTAGCTGCCACAGTTGCCGCGGGCCTGGATGGAATCAGAAGGGGCCTTGACTTAATAGAAGGCACTAACAGTCATACTAAACTTACTGAACAGAAAGCACCCTCAATACCACTGAAACTAGAGGATGCCCTGACTGCCTTGGAAGAGGACACATATATGAGAGCATCCTTGGGTGAACCTTTTATTCACTATTTTATGGCAATGAAACGGTATGAATTAGAGACAGATGAGGGAGACACAGAGAGAAATAAATTTTTGGAATACTTTATATGAATAAATCAGGCCATATCTTTATTTAACCAAAGAGTCATTTGCATTTAAGCAGTAAATGGGGTTTACAAATTTGATTTTGATATTCTTGAAAATATAATGGCTAACTATTTTTTACAGCTTTATATTTAGTGAGTAGTTTACTTAGCTTTTGTTGTGCTTTTCTGGTCCGCTGCCCTTTTTACTCACACGATAGGTTTCATAGAAAGATAAAGATGAAATAAATAAATGGAAACTTATAATTAAATGTTGGTATGTGCAGTTCATTTGTAAAGTATAAGGTATGCTTGAATTATAAGTAAGTATGCTTAAAGTGGTTGTAAACCTCAGACATGAAATATAAACACAGCATACTCCTCTATAGTGTTGCTTGTCTCAATCCAGAGCACTAAGTATAATTTCTGTCCACTTCCTTGTTCCTCAAGTATGAGTCACTTCAGACACGTTTTGCTGACACCAAGAGGAAAATGGTGACAGTTAGGGCACAGCCTGTGATTGACAGGCTCAGCTCTGTTTCTGTGTGCTGTGTGAAGGGGGGTGTGCCCTTCCCTACAATCAGCTCTCAGAGCTCTCCTCACTGAGTGCAACTTCAGCTCCCTGCCCCCTGATTTTCAGAGCTGAGAGATCCTGTGTAAATTCTGCACTTTGAATGGATGTAGGGGAAAGATGGCTGTAGATAAACAGGTATAATTTATGTAGGAGGATTTGTTTCATTTCTGTGTATCATCTGAGACCAGTCACATCACTAGGCATATGTGATATGTGGTTTATAACCATTTTAAAGCTGAAGTGAAGCCTTACCTTTTAGTATTGACAAGTTGCAAAAGGTGCTATCCTATACTGAAACTGCATACTCTTATTTCACAGTACACTGTGAGCTTGTCACAGTGTGCATTAAAAGCTGCAGCATCTCTTATAGAGCCCTCCTCATTTACTGGTTCAAAGATGTCATGCATCATCTAGTCCTTTCCTTCCCAGCCTTACTGTCCCTGTCCCGTGCCTTCATTAATTATATTTCAGTTCTTTCAATCATAGGGGTTCAGCATTACGTGTCGGTGTTACCTAGACCAATCTGTATGAAAATACAGCCAGCTTAGGTTTGCCCACTTCTCCAGACTGACATCCACCAATCAAAGTATTCTGATATTTGCATAACTCCTCCCAGGAAACAACCTATTGCTTGCTTTAGAACTGAAGAGAAGTACTACGGCAGAGTGTGGCAATGTTTTCAATAAACTGTGTATTGCATCCTGCCTGCCCCTCCCATCAGCCATTATTTGCTTGTGTTGCATAGAGAAGCACAAGGACCTGAAATAAGGTAAGTAATTGGATTGATTTTATTAAACAATTTCATTAGCATGTTGATGGGGGGGGGGGGGGGGGGGACCTAGGAAGAGAACATATATGCAGATTAAACTTCAGCTTAAAAGCACTAAATTAATTGTATCTAAACCCCAAAACAAAAATGGAATATAGCAGATTACAGATGTTTGATTCATTGACTGTATTTTTTGTGCTCTTTTCCATTTGTTTTTACCTGGTGTGATTTGCAAATGACACAATTCCTGTCCCTTCCTCTGTGTACCTTTGGGTGTCATACATGTTGAACATTTAAATGTGTCTAACTGTTCATTTATGTTACATTGTGAATAGATGGGACTTGTAGTTTAAGCAGTAAATATAAAATGTATGATTTCCTTTAGGAACACAGGAAGTGTCAAGGACACTTGATTTATGACAGGATCCACAGGTGTTTTTTGTACTTGTTGAAAATTTCTTAGCCTGAACAGTGAATAATAATTCAGCCACCATATCTAAGAATGCTACAATATATTACATTTTTGTTTTTGGGTTTAGGTAAGGCTCCATTCAGAATTCATAGTCATCTATAGTTTACATTAGTTGCTGATGTTCTGTAAGAATTCATAACATATACAGAATATCAAATAGGAACATTCTATGCTATGTGCTAATTCACATTTTAGCCAGAGTACCACTACAATACAGAGTTGCCCCATGCAGATTAACTATCATGAAAATGTGTCCATTGACGATGGAGTTCACACCAGCAATGGCAGATGCAGATGCACAGCTTGTGATAGTACTGCACAAAAGCTCAAGTGTTATAGTTTCCTGCATTTGTTGGGCTGAAATGTAATCAAATTCTTATTAGGCATGTTAAGGTGTGCAGCAACCTCTGTTATTACTGATCTGATTCTCCTGTGAATAATGTTGGTTTGTATTTACACTGTGAGTCTGCTCAGCCAAATTCAGATGTTTCTTTTGGGGGGCAAGAGCCATGTATTGGATTACCCACTGACTTCAGAAAAAAAGTTTCCTTTAACTGAACTTTCTTTTTTATGAGCCATAACTTTCCATTGGGAGTGGTGAACTACATTATTCAGCATTTCATACTATAAACAAGTCCTAATTTACCTAAGTGGGGTGTATTACAGAGAAGTTGGGCAATGATGGGATAGCGGGGGCAGTGTCTGGAGCTGCAGATGATGGAAAAGCTGATAGCTTAAAGTATTACTTTAACCACTTACCTACCAGGCACTTATACCCCCTTCCTGCTCGGGCCAATTTTCAGCTTTCATTGCTGTCACACTTGGAATGACAATTGCGCGTTCATGCAACACTGCACCCATATTACATTTTTATATTTTTTTTCATGCAATAGAGCTTTTGTTTGGTGGTAGTTACTCACTGCTGGGTGTTTTATTTTTTTTAGCAATTTTGAAAAAAATATATTTTTTCCTTTGTTTCTATTATAACATTTTACAAACAGGTAATTTTTCTTCTTCACTGATGAGCATTGATGAGACCGCACTGATAGGCAGCACTGATGGGCACTGATAGGCAGCACTGACGGGCACTGAGGCACTGATGAGGTGGCACTGATAGGCGGCACTGATGAGCTGGCACTGATATGCAACAATGATGGGCACTGATAGGCACATCGATGGCCACTGATAGGCAGCACTGATATGCAACAATGATGGCCACTGATGAGCACTGATAGGTGGCACTGATGGGTGGCAACGAGTAATGGTACTGATTGGCAGCACTGCTGAGCACTGCTGGGTGGCACTGCTGGGCAGCACTGATGGGTGGCACTGCTTGGCACTGATGGGTGGCACTGCTAGGCACTGGGTGGTTGGCACTGCTGGGCACTTGTGGGCGGCACTGCTGGGCACAGATGTACGGCACTGGTGGGTGGCACTGCTGGGCACAGATCATCAGGGAACTGAAGATCAGTGCCCTGATGATTGGTGCCGATCCCTCCTCTGACAATTGCTGGTTATCGGCAGTACTTTCCTCACAATGTGACAGCGTGAGGAAAGTGCAGTTGATAACCGGCAACTGCATTTTCTGGTGATCTGCTGTGTCATTGGACACGGCTGATCATGTGGTAAAAGACCGTTGTGATTGGCCTTTTACCACTGCATGTGATCAGCTGTGTCCGTAGGACACAGCGATCATGGAGATTGCCGGGTGCACATCCCAGGGGGCGTGTGGGAGGGTGCATTCTGGGAGGACGTCATATGACACCCTCCCAGAACTGACCGGCTGCAGTGAATCTGTCATTTGGCTATCTGCGGTTGGCAAGTGGTTAAAGTGTTATTAACCCAGGACCCTGCATTCACTATATCTGATCTCCCACAGTACACAAAACATAGAAGTGCAATTATTTTAGTAAATATAAACTGCTAAATAAACTAAAACAAAAACAACCTGCGCCACAAGAGCTATGTGAAAAATGTGAAAGTGAATGCTGCTGTGCCTTGATAAGAATCAAAAAGATTGAAAGAAAAAAAAATTGAGTGAAACAATAAAACAGCGCAAAACATGAAATGAATCAAAAATATACTCAAATCATAATAAATTCTATGGTTATAAAATAAATGTCCAAAACCACCAAAAAGAAAAAAAGATATAAAATTTGTGTCCAAATACAAAAAGTGATGAAACCAAAAACAAAGAAAGTCCCCTTTAAACATGCAAATAGTGCTCCAAAAAAATTTAGGATAAGTGTAATACAGAGAAAAGACTCCACGGATCCACAGCTTCCTGTTAATACTGATGTATTCCGCACTCACCAAAGATAATAATAAATTGCACTTTATGAATACAATATTATCCTCCAATTCCCAGGGAAAATTTCCTCTCCATAGCCTTCTCCATATACAAGAGCTTCCTTACATCCAACTTCAAAAGGGATTTCCCCTCAAAATGATGTGTTATAAAGGAAGACAAAGGAGAACCATTAGTGCAATATTGCAAAGACTTTTAATTGAATAAAATAGTGCTCAATCTACTCACATTATAACTTAAAATAAGTAGCCAATTGACAAAATCCTCCAAAACAGGCTTCCTAGTGTAAAACGGATTCCAGACAGTAAACCAAACTGGCAGCACTGAGTAAGAGATCAGCTCTAAGCATGTACAAGATGACCCTGGAATGCACCGACCTGCATGCACTCCACTCAGCAGGGGCGAAACGCACATTCCTGTGCAAATACATGTGAATTCTGTGCGGTGCAATTTGAGCCATACATTTTATATGGCTCAAATCGCATTGCATCCGCGCCAAAAAGGTGCAGGAGCCTTTTTTTGTCCGAATTAGAATCAGATCCATGGATATTCACACCCATGCAATCCAATTCTGCACATCGCACAGTGTTTTGTGAACCAATTTTGGGGTGTTGTTAACTTAACATACACACCCACAGCGGTTGCATGAACGGGGTGCAATTATGATGCGATGCAGAATTCTCACAGAAACCAGTGCAAATTCCGCATTGCATCAGTGTGAACCCAGGCTTAAGGTTAACCTCTAAAAATTGGAGGCCCTAAATGTCAACTTACCAGAAGCTACAGTGTGAGCCCTGCATCCCTCCTTTCTATTCAGATGGGCCCCCCAAGCTCTTAAACATCTTGGCACATATATCCCTGCTGATTTGTCTAAAACTTTCAAACTGAATTTTTTTCCAATTTTA